AAGAGAATTCATTTCTTGTTTCTTGTCTTTTTTTTTGTGAAGAGTAACTTCAGGTAAAAATCTACCCGATAGTCATGTAATAAAAATAGTTACAGTTTAATATAATCAGTAAAACTGCTTTTTTTGCACTTATAAGAAAAATAAGTGCTTGCAATTTTAAAAAATAGTATAAATTTATGAAAATTTCTCTGTAACTTATTTCTCTGTTACAACGTAAGTAGAAATTGAATAATATTGAATAATATTGAGTAATATTGAATAATATTGGATAATATTGAATATTGAATAATATTGAATAATATTGGATAATATTGAATATTATTGAATAATATTGAATAATATTGAATAATATTGAATAATATTGAATAATATTGAATAATATTGAATAATATTGAATAATATTGAATAATATTGAATAATATTGAATAATATTGAATAATATTGAATAATATTGAATAATATTGAATAACATTGAATAACATTGAATAACATTGAATAACATTGAATAATATTGAACAATATTGAATAATATTGAATAATACTGAATAATATTGAACAATATTGAATAATATTGAATAATAATAATAAATAATTAAATATTGAATACTCGCGTAGAATAAAAATCGTTTTCGTCGAATGCAGCAAGCGCAAGTCGAACGAAAGACGCTAATCCCATAATTTATCAACAAAAAATCCCGAAATCCACGCATTTCCGATTAGAACACATGCGACACGGACATCGAAGGTCACTGACCTAACTTATAAGTAGCCAAGGAGCCGGAAAATGTTTCTCTGTCGCATGTCTCATAGTTGGTCGCCGGTCGTCTGTCGACTAGAGAGCAGTAATAAGGATCCTCCCCGGACTTCACGTTCTCGTATTCGTTGTCTGGTTCCGCGAGAACCTCGGCAACGTCCCGAACAAGGCAGCTGCCTCCATCTTCCACGGTCTCCCTATCATCGTCGTCCTCCCTACAGTGCTTCTCCTCGCTCGATAAATCCTGGTTGTACCGACAGGTTTGCCAATGTTCATTCTGCTATATAGTAAAACTAAATCCCGATGAAAAAGCGTTTCGTTTCTCAATCTCTCATTGCCGGAAGTATCGATTCCGATGTCTCGAAAGCTACTCGCGTCAAGCAACAATCGTACGGGAAAAGAAAAAAAAAAGATTGGTCGGTCGAGTCACGCACAAACAAACCAACGGAGATTCTCGATCTCGATTCATAAGCTCGCCGAACTAATTATACCTTCAACGCACGTATTACACGCGTTACTTATACGTATGCTGGTTAATAGTATCTGGTTAGCGGAAGATGTTATGGCAGACAGTGAATGAGAAGACTCTCAGCGCCAGGATAATACGGAAATTGCATCAAATCTACCGTCGATTCTTTTACGCTTCTCGCAAAAGCCGAATGCGTTCCAAGATTCCATCTGCGAACGGTTTCGCATTCGTCGGACCCTAATGTGTGGAAACAAGTATTAGAGATTCTTCGTTTATATCTGGCATCACAGAAGCATAATCATCGCTTATTCGCCGTCGAAACTCACCGTCGAGTCTCTGTTCTTCGGCGACGCCGTCGACGGGGCGTCGTTCATCGGCTGGCGCAGGCACGGCTTCCACCCTGAAAATATCGAAATCTACGAAGGTACAGTTGCCTTTTTTTTAAACGTGTCGTCTTTCGTATACTTCTCAACGGGCTCCTCCAGTTTCGTTGACATCTCGGCGATCCTCGCGGTTCGATCGCGGCCGATCGCGTCGCTCGCTTTTCCGGGATCTTTGCGGACGTCGACGTCGCGCGCGAAGTAGACGGAACCGTCGTCGCGACGCTTATTTCTGTTCGTGACGTCCAAAAAAGGTGAGCATCCGGAGTCCACGTTCTCCCGACTCGACGAATATCTGCTCGACGCGTTCGCCGATTCGAGGTTTCGGCTGCTCGAATCGCTTCCTCGCGGCGAATTGTTCCTGCGATCTTGCCGCTGCTTCCGGTTAGGCTTGTCCTCGATCTCGATGAAGAGCACGGGGGATGGCTCGTGGCTCGATGTCACGGTTCCGAGGGGCACTGCGATGCTAGTCGTCTCGCTGGCTGCAACCGAGTACACCGGGGTTTGATGCGGTTGCATTCGCTTCAGGGGACTCGCCGTCTCCTCGATCACGTCCTCGATGTCGACTATCATCGCTTCCGGCTCCGAATCGTCCATCAGGATGTCCTCCGCGATCTCTTCCACCCCTTGCCGATTGCCTGTCGATCAGAAATGTGTTAATCGAATTCGGTTCTGATCGAATTATGCAGTTTAATTACTTTGGGTGGATGAATTGTCCGTGCGTGATGCAATATTTTATGATGTGATGTTGTATTCTGTTTAAGGTAACGTTAATGATCGCACTTGTATCGCTGATACTTACTTGACAGTAGCAAACTGCCGGTAACATCGGAATCTTCCAGTGTACTTGCAACGCGATTTAATAATTGCAGGCTCGTCGGACGACGTATGAAAGATTCGCTTAGACTGCTTCTTGTAATCAGGTCGTCGGCAGACTTCGATCTTGTCAAATTGCGATCGCTGAAGAACACCTGCTCACTGGATCCAGCTTCTAAACAATTCATTGTCATCCGGATTAGTGCTCATTAAATATTTCCTAAATTATTTTCTACATTATTTCCTACATTATTTGCTAAATTATTTGCTAAATTATTTTCTACATTATTTTCTACATTATTTCCTAAATTATTTGCCAAATTATTTCCTAAATTCTTTCCTAAATTATTTCCTAAATTATTTTTTCTACATTATTTCCTACATTACTTGCTAAATTATTTCCTAAATTATTTTCTACATTATTTTCTACATTATTTCCTAAATTATTTGCCAAATTATTTCCTAAATTCTTTCCTAAATTATTTCCTAAATTATTTTTTCTACATTATTTCCTACATTACTTGCTAAATTATTTCCTAAATTATTTTCTACATTATTTTCTACATTATTTCCTAAATTATTTGCTAAATTATTTCTTAAATTAATTCCTAAATTATTTCCTAAATTATTTCCTAAATTATTTTCTACATTACTTCCTAAATTATTTCCCAAATTATTTGCTAAATTATTTCCTAAATTATTTCCTAAATTATTTCCTAAATTATTTGTTAAATCATTTCCTAAATTATTTCCTAAATCATTTCCTAAATTATTTCCTAAATTTCCAAAGTTATTTCTTAAATTATTTCTTCATTAAGGAACACTGTCCTAATAATTCGTAATATCCACCATGGTAGTTCATTAAAGTTCAGCCTAAATCCGCAGCAATACAATTTTATATCAAATCCTACCTAAACAGAGCAATCATTTCCAACGCCACGTCACTTTATTTCAAGTTATTTTCACCGAGGGCAAAGAACGTTTCCAAGAAACTTTGATAAGGGAGTCTTTTGCCAGATATTTTGGACAAGAAGAAACCTTGTCAAAATCACGAAGTATTCGTTGTAAATTCGAAGAAAATTCGTGTTTGTTGCAATGCTACGGGAACACTTACTGGTCGTCGGTGTAATCGGCGTTTCGACGTCCGATTCTCTCAAAAGCGGATCGAAAGCAGGTCCCAGCAGACGGAAGGTGGAGGATCTCGGTGATATCCCGCGATACTTTTCCCAATCGTACAATTTCCTCGTGAATTCTCGCGATATACCCTCGAACCGGTAAGAACCGGCGGATGTTTGCACCAGAACTTCGTCGGTGCAGCTCGAGTCCCTTGCAGCATCCGCGTACGACCTAAAACGATACGCGAAAACGATTAACATCGATATTACAGTAAAATCAACATTTTTAAATTATTATTAATTCACTGAAGTGAATTTTGAATTTTTTCCTCCATTTATAGCGTGTGCAGATTGGTAAAATGCAAGAAATCGTTAAGAAAATTGGCAAGAACTACAGAGCGACTTTAAAGTGCTGTAACTTCGCGGGAAAAAATCGTATCCACGTTTATTTTTTTTTAAATTAAAGACGAAGAATCGAACTATTTCCCACTGTAAACAGCATCCCCGAAAAAAATTTTACAAACTCCGTGCATTTCGTCGAACTTGGCAGTTTCCAACATGACCAAATAACCAACATGGCCTCGCATCCGAAGGGTTACAGTGTCGAGGGCGCGTAAAACATAAAATCCAGGAATACCATCTTAAAATAGAGGTTTCAAGCTTTAATTTAAAAGAATCGTCATCACCCTACGATCATTTCTCGCGGAGTTATCGTCAGTCGAAGTTGGCCAACTGTTATCCAAAATTCTCCTACGCTATAGTTCTTTCGAGCAGTACATTTTACTATTTCTTTTCTATTATTTTACTATTTTCTAACGTAACAATTACTTCGCATTGGCGTCGACGAACTTGTCCGACTGCTGCCGATCGGTTTCCCTGCGTTGCTTGACGGTGTCGCGGTTGAACTGCGCGAGAGCCTTCTCCAAAGTGAGAAACTCGGTTTCGTCGATGCCAGACCCGATCCCAAGTCGGCTGAACTTTGCCCTCGAGTGTTCGTCGTCCCCGTTCCCGGTCTCGTGCATTCTCTTCCACACGTCCATCTTCCGTAGAAAGTCCTCGGACAGGTGGGACCTGCCGCCGTTTACACCTTCCGCGAAATTGGCCCGCTGCCCCGCGATTTCGCGATTTCTGCATTCTGCCTTCGCGGGCGACTTCCACAGCTGCCAGTCGGTTAGGCGACGACGATTGAACCTCTGCTGCTCGAACGCGTTGCTTCCTCGTCGCTCCTTCTTCACGCGTTTCCAATCCTGAAGCTTCTTCCTGAATTCGAAGGACAGCCTCTCCTCGGACAGGAAGTGTTCCCGAGGGTTCGCGAAACTCGGCGCAGCTTCGCGGACGCTGTCCTTCGTTTGCGGGCGTGGCGACAGGTTCTTCATCCGCTCCCATTCGACCAGCTTCCGGTGAAACTCGGCGCCCAATTTCTCGCGCAGGACACGGTAATCACGCTGGGTGTCCGACTGAGTGTTCAACGCCGTCAGTTGCTCGAGGTCCTCCGCGCTGGCGCTGCAACTGCCTGGGGTCGAACACTCTTGACCTGTCGGCAGTGTTGCGAAGAATTGGAATTGAGTTACTCGAGCAATATTATAACTGCGAAGTAATTGCAATTCAATTATATCGTAAGTCAATTACATTGTGACTCAATCGTATTGTCATTCAATTGTATTGTAATTCAATTATATTATAACTCAATCGCGTTGTAATTCAATTACATTGTAATTTAATCGCATTGTAATTGACTTGTATTGTAATTCAATCGCATTGCAATTCAATTATACCGTAACTCAATCGGATTGTCATTCAATTGCATTGTAATTCAATTAAATTATAACACAAACGCATTGTAATTCAATTACATTGTAATTTAATCGCATTATAATTGAATTGTATTGTAATTCAATCGAATTGCAATTCAATTACACCGTAACTCAATCGCATTGTCATTCAATTGCATTGTAATTCAATTACATTATAACTCAATTGCATTGTAATTCAATTACATTGTAATTCAATCGCATTGTAATTCAATCGAATTGCAATTCAATTACACCGTAACTCAATCGGATTGTCATTCAATTGCATTGTAATTCAATTACATTATAACTCAATTGCATTGTAATTCAATTACATTGTAATTCAATCGCATTGTAATTGAATTGTATTGTAATTCACAATCGGATTGCAATTCAATTACACCGTAACTCAATCGGATTGTCATTCAATTGCATTGTAATTCAATTAAATTATAACTCAATTGCATTGTAATTCAATTACATTGTAATTTAATCACATTGTAATTGAATTGTATTGTAATTCAATTACATTGTCATTCAATTGCATTGTAATTCAAGTACGTTATAACTCAATCGCATTGTGATTCAATTACATTATAACTCACTCGCATTGTGATTCAATTACATTATAAGTTTATCGCATTGTGATTCAATTACATTATAACTCAATCGCATTGCGATTCAATTACATTATAAGTTTATCGCATTGTCATTCAATTGCACTGTAATTCAAGTGCATTATAACTCAATCGGTTTGTAATTCGCGGTCGCAAACGGAATTTGTTTCGCAGCATTCGAAAATCAATAAATCGATTTATTCTCTCCGCGCTATCAGAATATATTGGCATGTTCACGGCAAAATTAGCAGCTCACATAATCTCGAAAACTTACAAATTTCCAAATGTTTTCAGAGTTTCGACGCGCAACCTCATCCACAATGGCACAGCACTGCACCAGAGTAACAAGAATGCAACGCATTCCTCGCCGAAATGCGAGGAATATCGGGAGAAGCTTAAGAAATGCCCGAAACTGACCGAATCGGTTCTCTGTTGCAAAAGGTTTTTCCAGAAAGAAGTTTACCCGCAACCGGAAGTATGAAAAACACTCGCAAAATACAAATGTAGTTTTATCGAATCGAATTTTACCACCTTTTCCATTAATTTCTAGCAATTGAAGTACAATCCTTTTAGTGCAAATAATTATTTAGGCTGTTGACAGATATTTGGTTATATTTGTCGTTTAATAATCGTTTAGGCTTCGTGCAAATAATTATTTTGGCTTTGTTCAATTAATTATTTAGACTTTGTTCAATTGATTATTTAGACTTTATTCGTACAGTTATTTAGGATTTATTTTTATAATTATTCAGACTCTGCTCAAATAATTATTTAGGCTCTATTTCTATAATTATTTAGACCCTGCTCAAATAATTATTTAGTCTTCGTTCATATAATTATTTAGGCTCTGCTCCAATAATTATTTAGCCTCCACTCAAATCATTATTTAGGCATTATTCAAATAATTATCTAGACCTTATTCAAACAATTAGATTCGGCTCAAATAATTATTTAGGCTTTGTTGAATTAATTATTTAGTTCAAGCAATTATTTACGCTCTGCTCCAACACTTATTAACTTATTCCTTGAATTTCAAGTGCAAGGAACAAACGACTCTGGACGAGTACACGAAGCTACGGGAGAGCATAAGGTCGCGGGGGGATGCGTTCTTGAAGACAGTGAAGGAGAGATCGACGTCCGCCATAAATGAGCTGAACGGTTACATAGCGTCGATGAAGCACAAGGAGGAATCTCAACTGAAGCGATTGCGTTCGGTCAACGAGGAGAAGTTGAACCGGCTGATGGGCTTGGACGTTGCGATCGCCACGAAGAAACGTGAACGCGCGATGTCGATGAACGATCGGGCTCGAATGCATCTGGAAACGCTTCGGTGCGACCTGATAGCGCGAACGATAAGGCTGGTCGAAATGGCGGAGCGTGTCGAACGGGACACCGTGATTTGCATCGGTCAGGCGGAGTCTCTCGTGAAATCTTGCGGCAAATGTAAGGACGTGAAGAAGCTGCAGACCTGCTTGAAGGAGAACGCCGACACCGCGACGATGAAATTGGAAGACGGATTGAGATACGCGAACGTCAGTTTGAAGGAAATCGAGGCGTACAAACAGGCCGTTATCAAATATTATGCTCCGCTGTCGTCTGACGCTATCAGTGCGTACAGCAAAGAGAGCGACAAGTTCTCGAAATATTTGGACGACTGTATTTTTGCCATTGAGGGGAGGAGCAAATAAATAATCGATGCATAAACGAGATCGACGAATGATGCGCGAGATTCGTTCATTTTAATGCTTAATTAAAATTAATGACGCTCGGCTTGGAAACGAAAATGGACAATTTGTTGTAGTTACTGACAATCGGTTATTATAAAAATATATATTAATATGATATATATTAAAATATATATTAATATAATATATATTAAAAATACATATTAATATGATATAAATCAAAATATATATTAATATAATGTATATTAAAAATACATATTAATATAATATAATATTATATTAATATGTATATATATTATATTAATATATCTATTATATATATATATATATATATATATATATATATTAATATTACAACTATTGTATAACTATAATTGTATCCGCTCTTTCCAAATTGTCCATTTTTGTGTAGAATCTGAGTGTCAATTAGGGAGAATTGTTTATGCTGGTTAACATTTTGAGTGCACATTTTGACAGTAATTTTTTACCAGTTTTGAAAATTCATTTTTACCGTGTTCGAGCAATTATTAATTGAATTGTGTTAATCGAACGAACGGAATTTCATCGAGACGTTCAGGTTGCAAAACGATGAATTTTAACGTCTCAATTTATCTCATTAATCAAATTATTTTCTGGGAATTTTTGGCACTTGACGTGTCAACGGTGTCTAGTAAAAAGTTACAACGACATGTAAAAATAGAAGTTCTTGTTGTTTACCGTTTTGTAGGAACATTTGTCTTGAACCGACTTTAACAGGACTTGGCGGAATGCTAAGAGGAGAATTTGTCAGGAACGCACGTCTGACCTTACTCCATTTGGAATCTTGTCCCCGTATTCTCGATGCTATGGACTCTTCGATGACCGATTGCTGTGTGGACAAAAGAGAACACGCATTGTAAAGACTGTAAATATTACAGAAAAATAAATATTACAGTCAATGTTGCACTAAACCTGGCGAAGAGTAACAGGGTGTATGATCCCATGAAAATGAAAAGGTCGAATTCATTTAGATTTTGCAATAATTTTGTATTATAAATGTTGCTCTAATAATGTCAATTTTTCAAGAATTTCCCACGAAAGAGACTTTAATGTTTCTAGAATTGTCAAATGACAAAGTGAGATAATTGTAAAATGAATGAATAAAATAACTGTAACAATCAGAGAATAAAATAATCGTGAAACTAAGAGAATAAAATAATTGTAAAAATCAGAGAATTAAATAATCGTGAAACTAAGAAAATAAAATAATTGTAAAAGATCAGAGAATAAAATAATTGTAAAACTAGGAGAATAAAATCATTGAAAAATCAGAGAATAAAATAATTGTAAAACTAAGAGAATAAAATAATTGAAAAATGAAAGAATAAAATAATTGTAAAACTAAGAGAATAAAATAATTGAAAAATGAGAGAATAAAATAATTGTAAAACTAAGAGAATAAAATAATTGAAAAATGAGAGAATAAAATAATTGTAAAACTAAGAGAATAAAATCATTGGTAAAACTAAGAGAATGAAATAATTAAAAAATGAGAGAACAAAATAATTTTAAACCTAAGCTACAAGACAGATTTTGTATCTTCATTGTGAAAAGAAAATAAATAGTCCGTCATCGGTGATCAACGCTTCACGTTACGCTAAGGGGGAACGTCAAACGTTGACGGCTCCCGTTTGATAGAGATCTGGCCCATCACGCGGCTCACACCGAAATTTTATTCGGATTCCTCGGTTTTCAAAATAAACCGGAAAGCGTTCGAGAAAACAATTTCCCCTTTTTTACGATTCTCTTTTCACAGAATCTTATAATTTCGCTCTTTAAAGACGTCCGTGGCGAATCTGAGATTACGATTCATAATATTTTCGTGGTTTTTCTCTCGGTAAACCATTTCTGCGAATGGTTTATGCAATTAAAAAGCAGCATCCGCGTGTTGCAATCGATGATAATATTAAAAGTAACAACCGCCCCGAAAAATTGCGTCGAAATAATTCTCGATACACGCAGTCGTAAAGTATAAGATGGGAAAACGTGCTAACCTGTCGTTTAAAATGTTTAGCGGACGATTGTTCTCGTTGCATATTTCGGAGCAGAGGAGAATTCCCGCTAGGAGTGTGCGCGCTGGAGGAAACCGACGAATTAGATTCTGGGGAGGGCACACACCTGATGTCATCGTTCAGCGATGGTATCGTGATCGTCAGAGACGGGGGTGGCCTCTTCGGCGTCGATCTTGCACCCTTCTCGTCGATTGCATTCGACGGACACGCCGTTCCATTCTTTTCTTCCGCGACTCGAATCTGCTTGGCTGGACCATTCTACGATCAAATCACTTCTTTAAGATTCTCAACAATTTTCTAGACGAGAAAGGACATTGATATTTGTTGCACGGTACTCTCTGCTTTAATGTTTATTTATTGTTAATAGAAGAGAAGAATTTCAACTGCATTTCATAGATAATTTATTATAGTAATAATTACAATATCAATAATAATATTATTATTATTATGTACTATAATAATAATTATAATATTATATATTATAGTAATAATAATAATATTATTATGTACTATAATAATTATTATAATATTATATATTATAGTAATAATTATAATATTATTATGTATTATAGTAATAATAATAGTATTATTA